CAACAAAAAGCCCTTGTATTTTTACTATAAATTATTTGAAATTTAATCTTGATGCAGGAGGGAGAGTAAACCAACTGATTAATATTCAGTGGCTTGCAATTTTCGTCAGTAATGTACATATTAGAATATTTTTCTCTATGTATCACCGCAATTAATACTTTGTGGCACTTCTAGAGATGCACTCAAAGATTCATTGTGGAAATGAAGTGTATCTGATAAGTATACAAAAATACTTTGAGCACTGACGGATACATTTATTTTAAGAAGCACTGCAAGTTGTTATGCCTTTAGGCAACTTTTAACTGAACAGGAATACAATTCCATAAAACGATTTATGGCCTGTAAAACTGATTGTTAATACGTACATCTACTGTAAACATTAATGTGTTTTATACAAAACTGTACCATATTAAAGATTGTGATTCTTAAGTCTGAAAAATTATTTTGTGGAATTTTAAAGTGCTGTGGAATATAAAGTAGTGTGAAGCTGTAATATTATTCTCCTACTGTTGTCCGGACTATAAATACTGGCATCCTCACGCATAAGCCATCCGATCAGTGCCATTAGCATCTGATGAACTCAAGTCTTCCAAAACCTATCTATACACATGATAAAAGGGAAAAATGTGTATGTCTGTGGCTGGGGTGCCCACTTCCACAAACAGGCTCCCGCTTCCACAAACAGCTTTAACCCACAGTGCTGAGGAGCCACCAAAAGCGCTCCCTCCAGTGACATTTCAGGTTATAGCGAGAGCCATGAACATATCCAAAATCCCTGCCAATGTCCTCCACAAACACCATACTGCCCTCCACCCATGTGATGGCTTTCATGCGGGGACAATTTCACCCTAGATTTTCTGTTTTTCCTCCACCACAGACACCTCAGTGTTTCTTACTCCATTGGTATGGAATTTGCATGATCCCACCCACTGCCTCTTCCTTAACCCTTTCCAACTCTGTCTGCATAATAAAAGGGAGCAGAACTGAGCAGCAACTAAACATACTGGAGGAGTTTGGGGGATTGACTCCACATGATGGAAGTTGGAGTTCACCCTGCATCAAGTCAGAACACTGTGACCCCTATTGACAGTGGATCTGAACCACATTTGGCACACAGAACTCCCATGACCAAAGAAAAATACTGAAGAGGTTTGGGGGGAATTCACACTGATTTATAGTCATTGTATGTACTGAGATTTATAGTTCACCAGCAATCAAAGAGCACTCTGGACCCCACCAGTGATGTTCCTGGTCCTAACTTAGCACACAGAACCCCCATGGCCAACAAAAAATGCAGGAGGGCAGTGATGGATCTGCACCAGATTTGGCATATATACACAATATGCCCAAAACTGGTGGATTTGGGGTGGAATTGACCTTGACATTCATTAGTTGTAGGTACTGGGATTTAAAGTTCACCTGTAATCAAAGAGCAGCCTGAACCCCATCAATGATGGACCTGGACCTAATTTGGCACACAGAACTGAACGTACTTGGCACACCAACTGAATGTGCTGGAGGGATTTAATGGGACTGACCCACCATGGTGGGAGTTGTAATTAATCCTGAAGCTGATGATGAGCAAACTTGCCCAACATGACACACTTTACTGATGGAGTTTCTTGGGGTTAAGCTGGCATGATGTGAGTTATACACCCACAACCTTATGCATTTTGTAAAATAAAAAAATGACTTCTAATAACCTGAGCAACGCCCAGTACCCAAGTTAGTGCTGTAATAAATGTATTAGCTCTTAAGAAAAGGATGGCAGATTTCAGGCTTGGAAGACATGCTGTTTGTTTGTTTTGTCAACTTGAATCTCTGATTGATAGATGTCAAATAAGGAACCAGGGTCAAGTGAGGCAAAACTGAGGAGAAATCATATAGTTAGAATAAATGCATAGAAAGGGTTCCCTAATTTAGTATAGGGGATTTTAACTTTGTTATGTGTGCTCTTGTTGGATTAGGAAGTTGGGGAAATCTGTTGCAAATTGCCCACAGAACCCCTGGCAGACATCTCTCTTCTTTCTGCCTATGCCTATCCAGTCCAATCCCCTGCCAAGAAGCAGGAAAATTGCATTCAAACACTTTGTAATTTGGGAGTTCATAGAATCATTGCCAAGGGCCATCCAGTCCAACTCCATTCTGCCCTGTAGGTAGACCTACACAAAGCACTCCCGACAGATGGCCATCCAGCATCAGCTTCAACATCTACACAGAAGGAGCTTCCGCCACACTCGCAAGCAGTATCCTCCACTGCCAAACGACTCTTACTATCAGAAAGTTCTCCCTTATGTTTAGATGTAATCCCATTTCTTTCAGTTTCATTCAGTTGCGCTCCGTGTCCTTGTCTTCAGAGTAGCAGGGGAAAAAAGTATAGCTATCATTTTCAAATTAGTTTTGAAATTTTGGATCCTTTCAGATATGATTTGGAAAGTAGCTTTGTGTATTGTGCACTATGGTCCCTGTATCCCAGGTATGGGCAAACTTGGGCCCTCCAAGTGTTTTGGACTTCAATTCCCATCATTCCTAACAGCCTCAGACCCTTTCCTTTCCCCCCTCAGCCGTTTAATCATGAGGCCAAGCCCAGCAATACAACAATGCAAATATACACATAAGGAAATAAAATAAAATACAAGAAACAGTATAAATAAACACATCAGACAATATTAAATCACAACATTTGAACACAGAAAATTTGTCACAGTGGCAAGGACGGTCACAGAAATTAAAAGTTAAAAAACACTGGATGAGAGAGCAATGTAATGTACAGTATTTGGACAGGGGATCAGAGGGACGAAGCAGGATTTAATTGCACTAACAGGTAAAATAAAGTGCTTCCAGGGGCATTTATGCAGGGTTTGGTCAGGTCAGGGATTATTGTTCATTCATTCATTGAAGGCACACTGGAACATCCAAGTTTTCACTCTTCCTAAAGACTGCCAGGATGGGAGCTTGCCTAATTTGTCTGGGTGGGAGCGAGTTCCAGAGCCGAGGGGCCACCACAGAGAAGATCCTCTCCCTGGTCCTCACAAGCTTCCACCACTTGTGAAGGTGGTGGAAGCGAGAGAAGGGCTTCTCCGAAAGATCGAAGGGATCGTGTAGGTTCGTAAAGGGAAATGCGCTCACGCAGATAAGTGGGTCCCAAACCGTTTAGGGCTTTGTAGGTAACAACCTGCACCTTGAATTGGAACCGGAAAATACAGCAAGTTCTTTTGGCCTGATCTCTAGGAAAACATTTCCACTTACTGCGGTTTAGTTAAAATGCTTTTCAAAGCAAGAAAGAGGCTCCCCCTGGGATTCCTTCTTAGTGTTTCCTGGCTCTGAACCAGTCCTTGAGAATGGCTTGGCAGAGAGTCCAAACGTAGTGGAAGAGCACATGCTTTCAGGCTCAGTTAGTTCTGGCATCACCAAGTAATGCTGGGAAACAGTCCAAGAAGAGCAGGGTAAGACAATAGTCTCATTTGAGATAAGGCTGTTTCAAGGCTGACCCTAACATTACAGAATTATAGAATCATTGAGTTGGAAGAGATATTGTGGACCATCCAGTCCAACCCCTTGCCAAGAAGCAGGAAAATCGCATTCAAAGCACCCCCGACAGATGGCCATTCAGCCTCTTTTTAAAAGCCTCCAAAAAAGGAGCCTCCACCACATTATGTAGACTAGGAAAAGAGAAGTCACTTGTCCTTGTAGCCTCCCTTTTGATTTGATTCCAAAGGAAATCACGTTGTTCGCCTTTCCTCTGAGGCTTATTTATTTGTGGTGTCAGGACAACCAGTCAAATTATATTACATTTCTAACAGAACAAAGCAAACAAACAGACAAAATACAAAATTTGTGAGTTTGGTAGTTCATTAAATGACTTTGACCAGTATCTGGCCACTTGGAGTGCTTCTGGTGTTGCTGTAAGAAGGTCCTCCATCGTGCATGTGGCAGGGCTCAGGTTGCATTGCAGCAGGTGGTCAGTGGTTTGCTCTTCTCCACACTTGCATGTCAAGGATTCCACTTTGTAGCCCCACTTCTGAAGGTTGGCTCTGCATCTTGTGGTGCCAGAGCGCAGTCTGTTCAGCGCCTTCCAAGTCGCCCAGTCTCTGTGTGCCCAGGGGGGAGTCTCTCATTTGGTATCAGCCATTGGTTGAGGTTCTGGGTTTGAGCCTGCCACTTTTTGACTCTCGCTTGCTGAGGTGTTCCAGTGAGTGTCTCTGTAGATCTTAGAAAACTATTTATTTTGGAAATTTAAGTCGATGTGCTGGCTGATACCCAAACAGGGGATGAGTTGGAGATGTCTCTGCCTTGGTCCTTTCACTATTGGCTGCTACTTCCCGGCGGATGTCAGGTGGTGCAATACCGGCTAAGCAGTGTAATTTCTCCAGTGGTGTAGGGCGCAGACACCCCGTGATATTGCGGCATGTCTCATTAAGAGCCACATCCACTGTTTTAGCGTGGTGAGATGTGTTCCACACTGGGCATGCACTCAGCAGCAGAGTAGCATAGCGCAAGGGCAGATGTCTTCACTGTGTCTGGTTGTGATCCCCAGGTTGTGCCAGTCAGCTTTCGTATGATATTGTTTCTAGCACCCACTTTTTGTTTGATGTTCAGGCAGGCAAAAAGTGGGTGCTAGAAACAATATCATACGAAAGCTGACCTGAGGCTGAGAGAGTGTGACTTCTCCAGGACCAGCCACTAGGTTTCGTGGCAGACCGGGATTTGAACCCCGTTCTCCCGAGCCGCAGGTCTGTAATGCAACCGCTTCGCCACGCTGCCTGCAGGTATGTAAATAAGAACAATGACGTCCGCTCGGAGTTTCGCTCCTGGCGACCAATCACGTTCGAGCAAGACGCAGGAGGCGAAGGTGTGTTTTTTTGAATGAGGTTCCAAGGAAAGAACCGGGGGCGTCCCTCATGGTTGCCTCCTCCAATCGGTTGCCTCCAGAACGCTACGTCATGACCATTCCATCCAATCGGCAACCGCGGGAGTCTGATTCAAACTCCTGGGAAGCCTCTGCAGGTGCTGCCTGCCGGCCTCCATGCAACCGAGCCTATGAGCGTGTTACTTTCCTGGCGAGCGATGGAGCCCCGGCTGGTGGGACCTGGGCCTTTCCGGGCTACCCGCCTGGTAAGTCAAGGGAGGTCTAGCTAAACTACAAATCCCATAGCATGGAGTTAAAGTGGCGTCAAGCTACATTAATTCAACATTGTGGATGCACCTTCAGAGAGTAAAGTCGCAGCTTGGGCACATTATTATTATTATTATTATTATTATTATTATTATTATTATTTGAAACACAACAAGTTGAGTTCACAGCAGACACTCTGCTGGCTGTTGAATTGGATCACACGTCGGATACTTCCCAAGTTATTTTTAATTCATTATTATTATTATTATTATTATTATTATTATTATTATTTGGATTTACTGTTCCCAGCATCCCTCAGCCAGCATGATGGGAACTGTAGTCCAAGAAGTAACTTGTCCAAGCTGCTTATTATTGCATTTATTTACTAGCCGTCCCCCGCCACACGTTGCAGTGGCCCAGTCTGTGTATATGTGTTTTTTGTGTGTATATATATAGTATATATATATGTGTGTGTGTATTTGTTGTTCATTCGTTCAGTCGTCTCCGACTCTTCGTGACCTCATGGACCAGCCCACGCCAGAGCTCTCTGTTGGCCGTCACCACCCCCAGCTCCTTCAAGGTCAGTCCAGTCACTTCAAGGATGCCATCCATCCATCTTGCCCTTGGTCGGCCCCTCTTCCTTTTTCCTTCCACTTTCCCCAGCATAGTGTTCTTTGCTGTCTCCTCATGATGTGGCCAAAGGACTTCAGCTTTGTCTCTAGTATCCTTCCCTCCATGAGCAGTCGGGCTTTATTTCCTGGAGGATGGACTGGTTGGATCTTCTCGCAGTCCAAGGCACTCTCAGCACTTTCCTCCAACACCACAGCTCAAAAGCATCGATCTTCCTTCGCTCAGCCTTCCCTAAGGTCCAGCTCTCACATCCGTAGGTGACTACAGGAAATACCATGGCTTTGACTAGGCGGATCTTTGTTGCCAGTCTGATGTCTCTACTCTTCACTATTTTATCGAGACTGGACATTGCTCTCCTCCCAAGAAGTAAGCGTCTTCTGATTTCCTGGCCACAGTCTGCATCTGCAGTCATCTTTGCGCCTAGAAATACAAAGTCTGACACGGCCTCCACATTTTCTCCCTCTATTTCCCTTGCCCCTAGAAATACAAAGTCTGTCATGGCCTCCACATTTTCTCCCTCTATTTCCCAGTTGTCAATCATTCTTGTTGGGCACATTATTATTATTATTATTATTATTATTATTATTATTATCATCATCATCATCATCATCATTTGAAACACAGCAAGTTGAGTTCACAGCAGACACTCTACTGGCTGTTGAATTGGATCACACGTCGGATACTTCCCAAGTTATTTTTATTATTTTATTATTTATTATATTTTTATTATTATTATTATTATTATTATTATTATTTCGATTTACTGTTCCCAGCATCCCTCAGCCAGCACGATGGGAACTGTATTCCAAGAAGTAACTTGTCCAAGCTGCTTATTATTGTATTTATTTACTAGCCGTCCTCCGCCATGCATTGCTGTGGCCCAGTCTGTGTGTATGTGTTTTGTGCGTATATATATATATATATATGTGCGTATGTGTGTGTACATATTTGTGTATATGTGCATATATGTGGTTTTGTGCATGCATTGTAATGTATTTTTATTTTTGGACTTTTTAAGTCTTTTCCGCTGTGTTTTTCAGTGTTTTTATGAGTGACTAGCTGTCCCCTGCCACGGCGTTGCTGTGGCCTAGTCTGGTGATCTGTAAAATAAAGTAATGAGAAAGTGTTGGTTTCTAATATATGTAATTCCTTTCTGCTTGTGAGTAAACAGTATTTCTTGTTGTTTCTTTGTCAGTGTTGATGTGGAGAGTGTCTGGTTTGCCTACTCTGGAATATGCAACATATCATAGTTCTTCTTTAAGGGTCTCTTTCAAATCTATGATACTATATCTGTGTGTGTGTGAGAGAATCATATCTATCTATATTTCCAACTGGATGGCTCTTTGTCAGGAGGGCTCTGATTCCTTTTTCTTGCCCTGGTGAAGAGAGTTGGACTGGATGGCCTTAAGAATTTTCTGTTGGTCATGGGGGTTCTGTGTGGGACGTTTGCCCCAATTTTATTGTTAGTGGGGTTCAGAATGTTCTTTGATTGTAGGTGAACTATAAATCCCAGCAACTACAATTCCCAAATGTCAAGATTCTATTTTCCCCAAACTCCACCAGTGTTCACATTTGGGCATATGGAGTATTCATGCCAAGTTTGGTCCAGATCTATCATTGTTTGAATCCACAATTCTCTCTGGATGTAGGTGAACTACAACTCCAAAACCAAAGGACACTGCCGTCCAAACCCTTCCAGTATTTTCTGTTGGTCATGGGAGAACTGTGTGCCAAGTTTGGTTCAATTCCATCGTTGGTGGGGTTCAGAATGCTCTTTGATTGTAGGTGAACTATAAATCCCAGCAACTACAACTCCCAAATGACAAAATCATTTTTTTTTAGTGAAGGACATACCTTGGGTTGTTAGTTGTCTTGTGTCCAAATTTGGTGTCAATTTGTCAAGTGGTTTTTGAATTCTGTTAATCCCACAAACGAACATTACATTTTTATTTTTATAGATGAGAGATGGTGGGAATTGGAGTCTAAAAGGGTAATTTGTCCAAGCTGGTTGAAGGTAGCTGAGAAGCTCAGTGCAAAACAAAAATTACACAGTTAACGTGGCTTTTGAGAATTGTATTCCAAAGATACAGCTGTGGATACTGGAAAGCTGGAGGCAAATGTAGTAGAATTGCCAACTAGTGAATGTATTAGCTTGGCTAAGGATTCGATTCTTAAAATGCCTTAAATTAATAAATAGTTTTCTAAGATATATAGAGACACTCACAGGAACACCTCAGCAAGTGAGAGTCCAAAAATGGCAGGCAGAAACCCAGTCATGGCTGATACCGAATGAGAGACTCCCTCCTGGGCACACAGAAGACTGAGCGACCTGGAAGGTGCTGAACAGACTGTGCTCTGGCACCACGAGATGTAGAGCCAACCTTAACAAAATGGGGCCACAAAGTGGAGTCTGCGATATGAGAGTGCGGAGAAGAGCAGACCACCTATTACAATGCAGTCCGAGCCCTGCCACATGCACAATGGAGGACCTTCTTATAGCAACACCAGGGGCATTTTGAGTGGCCAGCTTCTGGTCAAAGGACATTTAATAGAATGCCAAGCTCTTAAACTTTGTTTTGAAATACATTACAACTGTACCCTTGGTTTGCTTCTGATACAATAAATGAATAAATTTCTTAAAATCCTGTTTGGTTGCCTTTCACTCAACATGAGCAGCACAGGTTGAGAGTATCTCTTATCCATAATGCTTGGGACCAGATGTGTTTTGGATTTTGGAATATTTGTACATAATAATAATAATGATGATCGTGTTAAAAAACAAAGTATGGATTGTTGATGTTGCAATCCAAGGCGACAACAGGATTGAAGAGAAACAACTGGAAAGCTGACACGATATGAGGATTTAAAGATTGAACTGCAGAGTCTCTGGCACAAGCCAGTCAAGGTGGTCCCAGTGGTGATCGGCACACTGGGTGCAGTGCCTATAGACCTTGGTCTGCACTTAAACACAATCGGCGTTAACAAAATTACTCTCTGTCACCTGCAAAAAGCCACCTTACTGGAATCTGCACACATTATTTGCCGATACATCACACAGTCCTAGACACTTGGGAAGTGTCTGACATGTGATCCAATATAACAACCAGCAGAGTGATCTTGTTTGCTGTGGACTCATCTTGTTGTGTACCTTACACAAATAATGTAGGTTATTTTATATAATACTTTAAACAATTTTGTGCATGAAACAGAAAGCAAAGACGTCACTATCTCAGCCTCCCATGGAATATTCCAGGAAAGGGACGCTCAACCTGTTTTTGTTGCCTAATGAGGATGTACGACAAGCATCATTTTCTGGTCAACAGCACTTTTGGAAGTTCCATTGGTTCTACAAGTCAACTCTAGTTCTTTTTTTTTCTTTTTTTTGTCGTGTCAGGAGCGACTTGAGAGACTGCAAGTTGCTTCTGGTGTGAGAGAATTGGCTGTCTGCTTCTCTCATGTCCCTGCATGAGGAGTTGGAGCTGAAAGAGGGAGCTCATCCGCCTCTCCCCGGATTTGAACCTGCCACCTGTCGGTCTTCAGTCCTGCCGGCACAGGGTGTAACCCACTGCACCACTGGGGGCTCCTAACTTTAGTTCTAACATGAAAAGGAAATGTAATGTTACGTAAATATATAACACTTTTATCTTTTTTTTCCTCCCTGCTTCAGTGGAACCAGACCATCGAACTCTTTCGAGAAGGAATGCCGTTACGGAGGCACCGCTGTCACTTCAAAATCTATGAGCGCTGCTTTGCTGCATCAGAAGCCGTAGATTGGTTGCACAGACTGTTAAGGCACAACCAAAATTTTGGTCCAGAAGTCACCCGAACGCAAACGGTTCAGCTCCTTAAGAAGTTCCTGAAGAATCACGTTATTGAAGATATCAAAGGAAGATGGGGCAAAGAGGATTTTGAAGACAATGGTCAATTATATAGGTAAATTCCTGATTAATAGGATTTGGGGAGGCTGAAATCTGGATATAGTTTGGGCATGGGCAAACTTGGGCCCTCCAGGTGTTTTGGACTTCAGGTACCACAATTCCCAATAGCCTCAGGCCCTTTCCTTTTCCCCCTCAGTCACTTAAGCAGAAAGGAGCTTCCACCTGAACATTAGGAAGAACTTCCTGACCATAAGAGCTGTTCAACAATGAAACTCTCTGCCTTGGAATATGGTAATAACTGTCAGAAATACTAAAAATTAACTAGGTATTTTTGATTACAAAAATTCAAGTCAAGCGCTGAAAGGGTTAAATGAATGCAATGACTCAGCAAAAGCTGCAGTTCAATATTAGCAGGTGTTCCTGTAGCTTAGTAGCTGTCAGTCTGAGGTAAGCCTCAGTGGGAGAAAGGTCTCAGTCTGTGAGAAGGCCTCACAGTGTGAAGTAGGTCTTAGTCTGTGAGAGAAGCCTCTGTGTGATGTAGGCCTCACAGTGTGAGGTAGGCTTTAGTCTGTGAGAGAAGCCTCTGTGATGTAGGCCTCACAGTGTGAGGTAAGCCTTAGTCTATGAGAAGGCCTGGTGTGAGAAGCTTCATCGAAAGAAGCCCTAGGTTAAAGGCTTCATGTGTTCAGCTGTGTATAAAGCTACTATGTGAAGCTCCTGTGTAATTTCCATAATTTTTTGAGAGCAAAGCTGTTTATCTGCATAAGAAAGAAGTCAATGTGGAAGCAACAAAGGAAGTGTAAAGAACTTTATTTGTGTTATAGAAACCTTGTTTTTGTAAATAGTCCAACCATATTATTTTACTACAAAGAAAAGCCTCCTATGGAAGAGATAACCTTGGTCAGTGTGTTTTTGGGTTGTTGTAGGTTTTTTTGGGCTTTATGGCCATGTTCTAGAGAGGCATTCTCTCCTGACGTTTCACCTGCATCTATGGCAAGCATCCTCAGAGGTAGTGAGGTCTGTTGGAACTAGGAAAAAGGGTTTATATATCTGTGGAATGACCAGGGTGGGACAAAGGACTCTTGTCTGTTGGAGCTAGGTGTGAATGTTTCAACTGACCACCTTGATTAGCATTTGATGGCCTGGCAGTGCCTGGAGCAATCTTTTGTTGAGAGGTGATTAGATGTTGATTGTTTCCTCTCTGTTGTTTTGCTGTTGTAATTTTAGAGTTTTTTTAAATACTGGTAGCCAGATTTTGTTCATTTTCATGGTTTCCTCCTTTCTGTTGAAATTGTCCACATGCTTGTGGATTTCAATGGCTTCTCTGTGTAGTCTGACATGGTGGTTGTTAGAGTGGTCCATGCAGCTGTGGACAAGTCTACATAGGGACCTTTCAACAAAAGATTGCCCCAGGCACTGCCAGGCCATCAAATGCTAATCAAGTGCTTTGTGTGGGTCTACCTACAGGGCAGAATGGAGTTGGACTGGATAGCCCTTGGCAATGATTCTATGAACTCCCAAGTTACAAAGTGTTTGAAAGCAATTTTCCTACTTCTTGGCAGGAGGTTGGACTGGATGGCCCATGAGGTCTCTTCCAACTCTATGATTCTATCTGTTGGGGGGCTTTGTGCTTTTCCTGCATGGCAAGGGGTTGGACTAGATGGCCCATGCGGTCTCTTCCAGCTCTGTGATTCAATGAACATTGGGCAAATGCTTCTAGAAGACATCAAGAAAGCGCCAACCAGATATTGATGGAAAGATGAGTTTTCACTCTTTCCATGTACACGGGAGTTGCCCCGCTACGAAGATTGTTTTTCCTGGCACAAAGTTGTGGGAAAAGGGAGAGTGAGTTATTACATAGCCGCACCTTCTGTCACTGTTCTCTCCCCCTCCCTTAGTTTTCTCCTGGTGTTTTTATGTGTGGTTTCTTTTCTCTCTCCTCATCATGTTAAGGAGTAGATGACAAGTTGTTTTTTGTTTTGTTTTTTTTGCAGTCAAACTGCTATTTAAAATTCCATGTGATATGTTCCTGGACCTGTCAGATGTGGATAAATGAAACTGTGGACACTGCTCCTGTGGATATGGGGGGCGTACTGTACTGTCTTGAGTAATAGGCTACAATAGGATCTAAAACACTTGGTTTTAAAACACCAGGGGTTTTTTGGGGGGGAGGAGAAGAGGAGGGTCTCTGTTAGGTTGGTTGAGAAGGTGGCTGAAGCCTAATTAAAAGGTGAACTGGCACTTCTAGAGGCTCTCAAGAGAGTCAATTCATTCACATAAAGTAAAGGTAAAGGTTTCCCCTGAAATTAAGTCCAGTCGTGTGTGACTCTGGGGGGTGATGTTCATTGTCATTTCTAAGCAGAAGCGGCACATATTGATCTACTAGCAAGAAGACATTGGTTATTATGTTTTAATGGTTTTTGTATGGATTTTATAATGTTGTTTTTAATGTTTTAATTGTATATTGTGGATTGTTATGGCATCGAATTGCTGCCAATACATCAGGCAGGATAGATATATCACAAATAAATAATAAATAAATACTCACATTTGCATGTTTTCGAACTGCTAGGTTGGCAGAAGCTGGGGCTAACAGTGGGAGCTCACCCTGCTCTCCAGATTCAAACCGCCGACCTTTTGGCCAACAAGTTCAGCAACTCAGTGGATATTTTGGCTAGAAAAAGCAGTCTAGGGAGTCTGGAGGATCCTTCTTTTTTAAGGATTGGGAGCCCAAACACGACATTTTGTTGTTACATAAAAGTAATAGTACTGAATTCATCAAATGCTTTTCAAACACTATTAAGGTAAAGGTTTTCCCCTGACATTAAGTCCAGTCGTGTCGGACACTAGGGGTTGGTGCTCATCTCCATTTCTAAGCCGAAGAGCCGGTGTTGTCCATAGACACCTCCAAGGTCATGTGGCTGGCATGATTGCATTGAGCGCTGTTATCTTCCCACCAGAGTGGTACCTATTGATCTACTCACATTTGCATGCTTTCGAACTACTAGGTTGGCAGAAGCTGGGGCTGACAGCAGAAGCTCACACCGTTTCCCATTGAACCTGTGACCTTTCGGTCAACAAGCTCAGCAGCTCAGTGGTTTAATCCACTCTACCCTTCAGACACTATTACAATAGTACAATGAGAAATTGAAACATACTTTGTTTTGTTTACTATCTCATATACACTTAGGGTCGTATCAGGATACATTTTGTCCTTAATTGTTCTCAGCCCAATACCAGCCTGAGATGGCAACCTGAGTTTTTCTACATTTGAAAACTCAAAAGTCAGTCTGTAAATACGAGTTATCCCTTCTCTGCTAATCTAAAATTTGAAATGCCCCAAAACCATCCACATGGGTGGCTGAGATAGAGACATCTTTACTTTCAGATGGTTTAATGTACAGAATCTTTCATGCAAAAAAATAGTAAATGTTGTGTCTAAAATTACCTTCAGCCTATGTGCATCACTTGTGTTTAAAACATAAATGGATTTCAGTTTAGACTTGGGGTCCATCTTGAAGATATGTCACTATGTATATGCAAATATTCCAAAATATTTTTTGGGGAGGGGATCTGAAATTCAAGACATATCTGATTCCAAATATTTTAGATAAGGGATGTTTAACCTGAATTGAATAATAAACATTCTCTGAAATAAAAACATCTTTTAAAGGTTTTTCAACCTTAAATGCTTTAGTTGTTTTAGCGTATACAGTATGATAGTAACATGTTGTATCAATACTAGTACTAAATGCAAAAAGAGCAATGTAAGAATCTTTAATTAAACTAGCCAGACAAGGTAGCATTTCCAAATATGAACAGACTTGTCGGTATCAGATGTTTAATATAATGTGGCAAGATCTTGGAGGGAGGTAAGGAAAAGATTGTCGAAACTGGTCTGGCATGGGTGGGTTCCTGCATTTTGGCTGCTGTCAGGGTGTGTCTTGTTGTTACTGCTATCTGGTCTCATCTTGACTCCAGTTCCTATCTTGTTGTCTTTGTATGCCTAAAACTTTATGCATTTAATGTAGTCATATGCATCATGTAAATTTGCAGCATGCAGTTTTTCTGGCATACATGGCATGAAGGGGGCCCAGTTGTGTCTCAATCCGAACACTGAAAATTTCCCTCCTTCCAGAACCAATCCTATCCTTCCCACTCATTCCTTTTCTCCCCCCGCAGAAACGATCAGTGAGATTGGGAAGTCATTGCTTGTTCATGGCCTTCTCCTTTTTTCTTTTTTCTTTTTGCTATTCTAGAACATTAGATGTTCTAGAATATCTGGAATTTGTCTTGAACTGCTTTTTCTCTAAAGTACGTTATTGCAGTGAACATAATTTAATTTATTTGGGTTAATAACTAAGAATACTTCTTTTTTAAAAAAACAACCCAGCTGTTTTATTAAAAAGGAACTGTGTTGTCGAAGGCTTTCATGGCCAGAATCACAGGGTTTCTGTGAGTTTTCCGGGCTGTATGGCCATGTTCCAGAAGCATTCTCTCCTGACATTTCTCCTACATCTATTGCAGGCATCCTCAGAGGTTGTGAGGTCTGTTGGAAACTAGACAAATGAGGTTTATATATCTGTAGAATGATATACAGGGTGGGAGAAAGAACTCTTGTCTGCTTGAGGCAAGTGTGAATGTTGCAATTGGTCACTGTGATTAGCACTGCATAGCCTTGCAGCTTCATAGTCTGGCTGCTTCCTGCCTGGGGGAATCCTTTGCTAGGAGATGTTAGCTGGTCCTGATTGTTTCCTGTCTGGAATTCTCCTGTTTTCTGAGTGTTGTTCTTTATTTACTGTCCTGATTTTAGAGTTTTAAAAATACTGGTAGCCAGATTTCATTCATTTTTATGGTTTACTCCATATTATTAAAAAGTAAATAAAGAACACAGGAAAAACCCACAGCAACCCAGTTAAAAGGAACTGATTTTTATTTAAGCGATTGAATTATTTCTCAACTCCAGACAAGTTTCTATACCTTTTCAATTATCATATCAAGTCTGCCCAGTCCACAGGGCAGAAATTTTGTAGCTCTCCTAGAAGATGCTAAAAATAAGAGTCTTTTCTTGAACCTGCAGTTCAGGTTCAGCTCTGGTTCAGAATACGAAATAGAAGACTTTACCCAGTGAAATAGATGAAGTAATCTCTAAAAGGAATGTGAAGTTCTCATGGCTATCATTTTCCCTGGAGATTCTACTATATTTAGAATTCCATTTTCATAAAACGAATTAGTAACGCAATGGTTGCATTATTTCATAATGATAAGCCATTTAATAATCAGAAGACGCTTACTTCTTGGGAGGAGAGCAATGTCCAATCTCGATAAAATAATAAAGAGTAGAGACATCAGACTAGCAACAAAGATCCGCCTAGTCAAAGCCATGGTATTCCCTGTAGTAACCTACGGATGTGAGAGCTGGACCTTAGGGAAGGCTGAGCGAAGGAAGATCGATGCTTTTGAACTGTGGTGTTGGAGGAAAGTGCTGAGAGTGCCTTGGACTGCGAGAAGATCCAACCAGTCCATCCTCTAGGAAATAAAGCCCGACTGCTCATTGGAGGGAAGGATACTAGAGACAAAGTTGAAGTACTTTGGCCACATCATGAGGAGACAGGAAAGCCTAGAGAAGACAATTATGCTGGGGAAAGTGGAAGGCAAAAGGAAGAGGGGCCGAACAAGGGCAAGATGGATGGATGGCATCCTTGAAGTGACTGGACTGACCTTGAGGGAGCTGGGGGTGGTAACGGCCGACAGGGAGCTCTGGCGTGGGCTGGTCCATGAGGTCACGAAGAGTCGGAGACGACTGAACGAATGAACAACAACAACAAAAAGCCATTTAATGGTGTGGCCTCTGCTTATTCATTGTCCGTTGGGAACCATAACCCAGAGAAAGCAACCTTAGAATATAGCAGCAAGCCATAACACTTTGTTTTCAGATGACATGAGAAGCAAAATTCTGTGGTGTAGTTAACTGTGTATTGGCTATTTCCACCCTGGAAAGACTATAGCTGCAGTTGAAAATGATGCCAAGCTCTCAGACACATGGAACCTATTTGGTTCTCCAGTGACAAAGAAGGACCTAAGAATTCTCCCAATTGCATGCCTGTTTTTGGGCTGTGGCGCAGCTAGTTAGTAGCCAGCTGCATTAAATCACTAATGACCGAGAGGTCATGAGTTCAAAGCCAGCCCGGATTGGAGTGAGCTCCCGACCATTAATATTCTAGCTCGCTGCTGACCTATGCAGCCTGAAATACAGTTGCAGCTGTCAAGTAGGAAATTTAGGTACCGCTTTATGCGGGGAGGCTAATTTAACTAATTTACGATACCATAAAAACCTTCCAGCAGCATGCATAAGAATGAGGAAGTACTCCATTAAGGACTCGGTGTTACAAGTAGACGGTGAAGCGACAGCTCCCCCTGTGGCCAAATCGAGCACTGAATCATGAAGCCGGAAAGCTGGAATGTTAAATTGCCTCCGTGTCTGTCTATATATGTTGTATGCCTATGGCATTGAATGTTTGCCATGTATATGTGCGTTGTAATCCGCCTTGACTCTCCTGCGGGGTGAGAAGGGTGAAATATAAATACTATAAATAAATATCCTCAAGTTGACTGTATCTGAGTCAAGGACATGCCACTTACCCTGTTTCTGGTCCTGAGAACCAAAAGGATTCAGTTCACTGACTTTCAACTAGCCTATTACAGTATACAGGTACAGTCTAGCACCTGCACAGCTTCAAACAACTCTGACAACAAAGAGACGTAGAGTGGATTTATTGACAAGGTTGCAGTCAATTAAACTCTGCTACTCAGCAAGCTGGAAAGTCTCTGTTTTCCTGGCAGAAGAAAAGCCTGGACATCTGGGAGTTTGTCTGGCTAAGCGTTGACTGAAGACAGGATACTGGAAAAGATTAGTCTTTCTACTTATAGGAACTTGCTTATGAAACCGACACAATGGCAAGGGCTACGAATGCATAACAGGCAGGTGGGGTGAAACAAAGGGCAACATGTACTGTCACCAAAGGAAGGAAGGAAGGAAGGCAGGAACGGACACTGACGTTCTGATGTAATGAAGGAAAAAAATGTGCATTGGTGTGTTTTCTCTCACTTAACCCTTAAATCTTTCCCCCATCTTTCTATAGCAGAGGGATTTGCATCCAGTAACTTGAAAAAATAGTAATGGTCAACATTACAGTGGATTATAAGTAAGACAGGCTTCGAGCTCTCATTCATTTTCCCTTGTTAACGAAAAGTAGGGTGATTTCTTTTTCGGAAGTCACCGCTCCATCTTTTAACATCATTTCAACACTTTTTATTAAAAGACAAAAGCTAAAATTATGTATGGCTGGACTGAATGAATTTCTTGAAATATGCTTGCTAGTGATGAATGTGTTATACTAAGATTGTGATTCGGAAGGTCTGTCTTCCTAATGAAAGCATCTTTTGTTAAATATCTTTTGAGCACCCTCTCGTGGATCATTGAATTAGAGCACCATTTTTTGAAGTCTGATTGGATGGGGTACACATTTGAAACACATATATTACTGTATATACTCGAGTATAAGTCTAGTTTTTCAGCCCTTTTTTAGGCTGAAAAAGTCCCCCTCGGCTTATACTCAAGTCAAGGTTATTTATTATTTTACCCTGTTATTATTATTAGTATTATATTTATTATTTTACTCTATTTTTATTATTTGTATTACATTTATCATTTTACTCTATTGTTATTATTATTATTACATTTATTATTTTACTCTATTATTACTGTTATTACATTTCCATTATTTTACTCTGTTATTATTATTGTTATTATTATTATTAAATTTATTATTTTACTCTCTTTGTTATTATTATTGGAGGGATACGTAAACATATTTACATTGAAGAAGGTTAGAGTAATGGTTTAATCAGAGTTGGGCAATTTTGTGTAAATATTCAAAAACATTTAACCTACTGATGCCTCAGTTAATGCAATTTTATTGGCACCTATTTTTATTTTGAAATTTACCATTAGCTACTGCTTCTCACCTTCAGTTTATATTCAAGTCAATCCGTTTCCCAGATTTTTGTGGAAAAATTAGGTGCCTTGTCTTATATTCAGGTCAGCTTATGCTCAACAATATATGGTAATTTAAAAAAAAATTACGACATTTAGAGATGCATGAAATCTAAGCATCACCTCATTTACTTTTGAAGCATTTTTAATTCTTCCTGCGTTCTGAAGACAAAGAAAAACAAGTAAAAGCCACATAATGGTGCTATGAATGAAACTGATGTAAGAGAAGGGAGTATGTGTGATAAAAGAGTTGTTGTTCAAACCATATGAAGGGCAACAGGTTTTCATACAGTGAAAGTATAATCTTCTTCAATCACTTGCACAAATAAAAAGCTAAGATATTAGTCTGCAAGTACCTTTATTTACAGCATTTATATACTGCTTTTCTCACCCTGAGGGGTGAGAAAATACTTTGCTTATTCCATTAATAAAATTGATACATTAATTACTAATCAATATATCCATTTTAATTGCTAATTGGTGCCATGGTGGTGCATTGGGTTAAACTGCTAAGCTGCAGAACTTGCTGACTAACAGGTCAGCAGTTCGAATCTGCGGGACAGGGTGAGCTCCCCAACTTCTGCCAACCTAGCAATTCAAAAACATGCAAATGTAAGTAGATCAATAGGTACCGCTTCAGCAGGAAGGTAATGGCGCTCCATGCAGTCATGCTGGCCACATTATCTAGGTTGTGTCTAAGGACAACACCATCTCATCGGCTGAGAAATGGAGATGAGCTCCAGCCCCGAAGTCAAACTCAATAACACTTAATGTCAAGGGGAAACCTTTGCCTAATTACTAATCATTAACTAATTATGTAGAAGAGTTGTTAGTTTCTGACTTTCCATCCCATTTCCTTGTGTGGATATTGCTTCCAATATACCTATGTATGCTGCCTTGAATCCCCCTCCGGGGTTGAGAAAAGCAAGGTATAAATAAAGTAAACAAATAAATATGTACTTTTTAATCCTCTGCATAAACCATCACAGCTGTAGAAATAAACCATTTTGACAAATCTGGCCCATTGGATCAACAGTTTGTTGTGTGCAAGCATGCACATCAATGGATTATGGCATTTCACAATGTTAACAAGATGAGTTTTATGTTGATTTTAAAGCAAGGGTCTCCAAATGAAGGCCTTCAGGTTGGATATTAGTAGGTTTATGTTGGTTAAAATTGTTCTTCATTTTAAATATTGTATTGTTCTTTCATATATTTTTTTGCACTACAAATAATATGTGTGCAGTGTGCAAAGGAATTCATTCATGTTTTTTTCAAACTACAGTCTTGCCTCCAACAGCCTGAGGGACTGTGAAATGGCCCACAGCTTCAAAGGTTGAAGAGCCCCATTTTAAAGCATGCTGTCTCTCATGTTTTTTGTGCTTTCCTTAATTTTTAGGTTTCCTCCGTTCTCACCACTGAAGCCATATCCTAAGCGATCTCCTTATGGAAAAGAAATTGTGAAGTTCCCAAACTGGGATGATCTTGAAAGAGATACTTTCAGAGACCACATCCCAGTAAAGCCCATTGTGTTGGTAAGATTTCCACTTCTAACACCATCTTCTTTGCTCTTGTGTTCAGAAGTAGGAGGGTTATCAGGAAAATAAGGTTACAAGATTTTTTAAATTCAAAGAATGAATATATTTTAATAAAACTTACATGGATTGTAGCATTGGTATTACATTATTTTTCCACATATCACCATTCAGTTCAATACATTTTGTCATCTGTGGGACGTGTTTTTAATGCCTGTGTCATAGAAGCTTCCCTCCGCCTTTTACAGCCAGTTTGTCACTTCGATTTTCACTTTCTCGCCGGCAGAAAAGTGTTTTCCATCAATGTGTTTCTTCAGTTTAGTAAACAGATGATAGTCACTGGGTGTGAGATCGGGGCTGTGAGAGGGGTGGCTTAAAATATCCCAACCAAATGAAGCCAACAACTCTTGTGTCGTATCAGCGATGTGCGAACGTGCATTGTCATGAAGGAGACAGACTCCCACTGTCAGCATCCCATGACGTTTGTTTTGTATGGCTCTGCGAAGTTTCTTCATGGTCTCATAATATATTCCGTACCCAGTTTGTCACATGTTGTCTTGACATTACGTTCTCTCCGTAAACGAAAATGATTACACCATGAATTGCAACTCCGTTCATGCCCTTAGCATTTAGATAGCGTATTACAGCGCAAACTTGGAGGGAAACTTGTAGGGAAACGGAATGAGAATGCTCTTCTCTAACCTTCACCACAATGCCAGTCGATGAGTTACTGACAACTGGCACTGCTTGTTCGCTTCAATAAAATCATAGAATCATAGAATCAAAGAGTTGGAAGAGACCTCATGGGCCATCCAGTCCAACCCCCTGCCAAGAAGCAGGAATATTGCATTCAAATCACCCCTGACAGATGGCCATCCAGCCTCTGTTTAAAAGCTTCCAAAGAAGGAGCCTCCACCACACTCTGGGGCAGAGAGTTCCACTGCTGAACGGCTCTCACAGTCAGGAAGTTCTTCCTCATGTTCAGATGGAATCTCCTCTCTTGTAGTTTGAAGCCATTGTTCCGCGTCCTAGTCTCCAAAAGTGCCACTGTTTTGTGGATGTTGTTGTACTCAACAATTGAGACATTGTGTCCAGTCAGACCTTCATAGTAGGAGTATTCCACACCTGGGAAACCACAACACAACCGTTACCTTTCTGCAGAAGCGATATCTATTGATCTACCCACTTTTTGGCTCGTATTCGAACTGTTAGGTTGGCAGAAGCTGGAGCTAACAGCGGGAGCTCACCTTGTTTCCAAGATTTGAACTGCTGACCTTTTAGTCAGCAAGTTTAGCAGCTCACCGGTTTAACCTGCTTTGCCACCAGAGGCTCAGAAAGAGAAGTACTTCTTCACATATTTGATCCCCTGGTTAATGGAACTGAAATTGCAGCTCGCCCTCTTTTGATCAGGGTTGTTACTGCAAAAGTCAAGACCCAGCCCTTTACCCACTCCCTCAGCCCTATGTTACTTCATTGCACTAGCCTTGGCCTACTTTGAAATTCTAGTAGTTTAATTTTGCACAAGGCAATAGTTTTGGGACTGGTTTTTAAATGTATATGATTATTTTAATAGTGTTATGTTTTATAATAGCTACTCTATACGTTCAGTGTTGGTAATTGAATGCTTTACCTATGTGGAAATCGCCCTAGGAGAGATAGAGATACAAATAAACTTTTATTATTATTATTATTATTATTATTATTATTATTATTATTATTATTATTATTGAAAGCACTGCCGTTGAAAATAAGACTTGTTAATTTTCCTCTTCTGCTTTAGAGTTCAGAAATGTGGTTCAAACGTCACAGTATAGCAATTGGGGAAGTACCATCATGCAAACTCATCCATCGGCGACAATTAACAGAAGCAAATCTGGAAAAGATATGGAAATCCATGACATTGTCACAGTAAGTATATTGCATTAGCCCTTCATTTTCTCATATTACAGTAATATACAGTGATTTGACGAAAAACCCTAGCTCAGCAGTAAACATCTGAAATCATTGGTTAGTAAATCTATAAACTGAGCTCTGTGTCTACATAATCTTCTTATTGACTTGTGCCCTCTGATTTGCTAGGTCATCTTTTTATAATCCAGTAATATACATAAGCCATGCATTTTCCGATGCACCAGCAGTGTATTTGTTGTTCTGTTATATGGGAATGTCCACCTTTTATTGTTGTTACTAACTTTGACAAATTTATTGGAAAGAAAACGTATTAATGTGATCAAAACAAAGTCTTAAATTTGCATTTGGGGACAGTTTATCCATTATGTGGTGAGAAGTGTTTGGATATTCTGTGTGTGTGTGTCTTAAGGGGAGAAAACAGCTGTAATGGGGCATGTGATCAGGGGCGTCAGGCTCTCTGCTTCTCACAAGCTGAGGGAGCAGCCTGTCTACAGATATTCACAGATGCCTGCCTTCACTTTCCACTGGAAATACCACTGAGGTGAGCAACCAGAGCCAAAGACAGAGTTTGTTTGGCAATTCTTCAGACTCCAAAGAGATAAAGGCCCAGGGCTTCGGAGAGGAAATTCAAGATAGGACCCAGAATTAGACTCCTCCTAGGTGCTTGGTTCCTAGTCTCAAGGGTAACCATTAGGCCAGCTTTCCTGACCTCCAGAACAGCTGTCAGGTTCTGAAGGACTCCAAGGAGTTTGGTTCCTCTGCACCACAAAGAGACTGCTCAACTTGCCACTGAGAGTCAAAACCTCTCCTTTTCCACAGACCTGATCGAATGGAGACCTGAAACTGGAAAAAGAGGATGACAATGTCTGAATGTATCTCTCCTTATGAACCATCTAGGAACTTAAGTTATTCTGGGAAGGCCCTTCTCTCGATCCCGTCTCCGTCGCAAGCGCGGCTGGCGGGGACAAGAGACAGGGCCTTTTCAGTGCTGGCCCCTCAGCTATGAAACTCCTTCCGTAGGGATATTAGATCAGCCTCCTCCCTCCTGACATTAAAAAAAACTGACTCTCTGAACAAGCCTTTGGTAACGCAGTGTAATAGATGAATATGGAACCAGGAAAGAGTGAACATGGAACAACTTAGACAATGCTTTTGGAAATTGAGTTAACAGGAAGTTACTGGTGACTTCTGCAACTCCTGGAACGATTCCATCAGCGCTGCCTCCGGAAAATCCTGCAAATCTCTTGGGAAGACAAGCGGACAAACGTCAGCGTGCTGGAAGAAGCAAAGACCACCAGCATTGAAGCGATGGTCCTCCGCCACCAACTCCGCTGGACCGGCCATGTTGTTCGGATGCCCGACCACCGTCTCCCAAAGCAGTTGCTCTACTCCGAACTCAAGAACGGAAAACGGAATGTTGGTGGACAGGAAAAGAGATTTAAAGATGGGCTCAAAGCCAACCTTAAAAACTCTGGCATAGACACTGAGAACTGGGAAGCCCTGGCCCTTGAACGCTCCAGCTGGAGGTCAGCTGTGACCAGCAGTGCTGCAGAATTTGAGGAGGCACGAATGGAGGGTGAAAGAGAGAAACGTGCCAAGAGGAAGGCGCGTCAAGCCAACCCCGACCGAGACCGCCTTCCACCTGGAAACCAATGCCCTCACTGCGGAAGAAGATGCAGAGCAAGAATAGGGCTCCACAGCCACATACAGACCCACAAGAATATTGGAAGACAATCATCCTCAGAAAGCGAGGGATCGCCTAACTAACTAACTAACTGGTGACTACTTGATTTTATATGTTTTTTAATGATTTTTACATGGCTTTATAATGTGTGTTAAATGTTTTTAATTGTGTTTATGACCGTCACGGCATCGAATTGCTGCCAATCTGTAAACTGCCTTGAGTTGCCTTCGGGCTGAGAAAGGCGGCATAGAAATACTGAAAATAAATAAATAAATAAATGTAGGCTTTACTTGCAAGTGACTGATTGTTCTCCAAGTTTAAGAGTTCTCATCCAACTCATGGCCCTAGGGGACACTATATAAACCTTGCACTGTCTTGATTATATGCTGTAAAAGAGGATCGGACAGATGGCCCATTGTGTTTTTTATATCTTTGGAGTTGATACACCACTGTGCTATGGAATACTGGTTTTTATCACCTTGGTAGCTGTTGTGGCCTGAGGGCTATGGTGTGCTCTTTCCCACTGAGAGAGTTGAAGTGTGTAATTTTACAAACAAAAGCCTTACAGGATTTCTTCTGTATTTTTCCATTCTTGATTTCAGACTATGCAATGTTACTATGTGTAGTGATACTTCATAATCTGAAATGCATAGTCTCTGTGTTTGATGAGTTTGTTTTCCAAAGCAAGCTGCTCTTTTTCTGTTAGTACAGTAAGCTTGAAGGTGGTTTATGATTCTGATGAAAAGCATTTGTGCTAAAATCCAGGTATTCCAGTAATTGTAGGTTGTCATTCTTTTTCAGCTGCTTTGCTAGTGTGCTCAATTTTTTATTTTTGTATCTTACTCAGCTTGCAGAAAACATTAGGCGTGGATTCTCTCAACGACATGCTGGATACTAAACTTGTGAATCCCAAGCATATAATTCAGAATGTGTATAATGTCAACAAACAGGGGATTGTGATTTTAGAAGATAAATCAAGTAAGTGCTCATCTGCTTTTCCAGAATCTGTTTGCTGATATGATCATTTTGTGATATGTGTGTGCATAGCTTGGAAACATTATTTTATGAGCTATACTCATGTTAAAGTAAAGAAAAACAGTATTTTGTAATGGTCTGGTTCTGTGGCAGATTTAAAAATGGGCTGGATAAACTAGGTGTAGGGTTGAATTTCAGCTGCATTTGGTAAAATTTCCTCTTCTATGTGGTTGTTAACATCTCAGAAGGCCACTTGGGTTTTGGGTGTTAAAAATGAAAGTATTTTACTGGGATGAGAGTGCATGGTTTTTTAGAAATGGTTAGCTTCCAATTCTTATCATCCCTTGTCATTGTCTATGCTTGCTAGGACTGACAGGAGTTATTGTCCCAAATTATTTGGAGGGTACACATATGGACACTCCTGATATATTGTGTACTTTTATGTGCAATATGGAATGCAGCACTAAAAACATAGGCACTATGTTTTTAATCCTTTTTAATTGTATATACGAGGGATATCCAGAAAGTAAGGTTACAAGATTTTTTAATGAATATATTTTAATAAAACTTACATTGATTATAGCATAGGTTAATACATTATTTTTTCACATAATTACCATTTAGTTCAATACGTTTTGTCATCCGTGCGACGTGTTTTTTTATGCCTATGTCATAGAAGTCCCCCGCCAACTTTTTCAGCCAGTTCATCACTTCGATTTTCACTTCATCGTCATCGGAAAAGTGTTTTCCAACCAGGTGTTCCTTCAATTTAGTGAACAGATGATAGTCACTGGGTGCAAGATCGGAGCTGTGAGAGGGGTGGCTTAAAACATCCCAAACAAATGAAATCAACAACTGTTGTATTGCATGAACGGTGTGCGGACGTGCATTGTCATGAAGGAGATAGATAGAGAGAAACAGAATGAGGACACTCATCTCTAACCTTCACAACTCCAGTAGATGACTGGCACTGCTCATTCGTTTCCGCAGATTTTCCACTACACGGCAGTGATACCAACTTCCCCCACGAAAATTCCTCACGAGAGCTACATGCCTTGTAACCTTACTTTCTGGTTAACCCTTGTATCTGTTTTTATTACTCAATGTGTTTCTTTATTTAAATTTGTAATGTGGCATTGAATTTTGCTATATCTGTAAGCTGCTCTGAGTCCCCTTTGGGGTGAGAAGAGTGGGGTAGAAATATAGTAAATAAACAAATAATAAATACTTTTCTGAAGTACATTATTCTTGGTGATATATTCTGATAATTTCTGCTGCATAGCTAATGCACTCTGAGTTTGTACTCATTTCTTTGTTTTGTATAAGAAACTAATGCATTTATCTGTTTCAATAAAATCTCATCCCTTTCAATGCTGCAGAGGAGCTGCCTCACTGGGTTCTGTCAGCAATGAAGTGCCTGGCAAATTGTAAGTATTAGTTTGACAGAAGTGAAGATTTTTCTCTCTTTCTGTTTTTTTTTTTAAATTAATTTCACTAGGACAAACCTGTCACCCAACACAAGTGTTCCGCTCTATGATGTAAGAGGCACTGTAGTATGGTCCCCCCCCCTCTACTCTGTAACATTTGAAGGTCAAGGTCTTCCACACAAGTGTTCGCTCTATGATGTAAGAGGCACTGTAGTATGGTTCCCCCGCCTCTACTCTGTAACATTTGAAGGTCAAAGTCTTTTGGATGGATGTTAGTCTCCAGCAGTGTTTCTCAAACTGTGCTCCTCTGGGTGTTTTGGGCTTCAGCTCCTATAAATGCCAGCCAGTTTAGCAGGTGTTAGGAATTGTAGGAGCTGAAGTCTAAAATATCAAGAGGAGCACAATTTGAGAAACTCTGGTCTACAGTAAGCTGTTTCTGCTAGCTCAGATTACCAAGGTAGTTGTCTTGTGAGGCAAAGATCAAGACATACAAGGGAACTGCCCAGCAATGAGTTACCATAGAATAATAAATCATGGAATTGGAAGAGACCTCTTGACAATCCAGCCCCCTGTCAAGAAGCAGGAAAATCACATGCAAAGCACCTCCGAAAGATGGCCATCCAGCTTCTGTTTAAAAGCCTCCAAAGAAGGAGCCTCCATCATACTTTGGGGCAGAGTTGTTCCACTGATGAACAGCTCTCACAGTTAGGAAGTTCTTCCTAATGTTCAGCTGGAATCTCCTTTCCTGTAGTTTGAAGCTATTGTTCCACATCCTTGTCTTCAAGGCAGTGGAAAACAAGACTGCTGCCTCCTCCCTGTGACTTCCCCTCACATATTTATACATGGCTATCATGTCTCTTACCATAGGATAAGATGCTGTTTCAGCTTTCTATGTCTGATGTGCCACTCCTTTCTAGCTTGTCACCATGGTCTGATTGATCATTGCCTGAGTAAAATATGTCTTGCATTGTCGAAGGGTTTCATGGCTGGAATCACTGGGTTGTTGTAGGTTTTTTGTGCCATGTTCTGGAAGTATTGTGAGGATGCTTGCCACAGATGCAGGTGAAACGTCAGGAGAGAATGTTTCTAGAACATGGCCATACAGCCCAAAAAACCTACAACAACCCAAAATATGTCTAACTTTGCATGACCGTAGTTATCAGATAGGTACTATGCCTCTTGTTCTGGGTTTCTGCCCAGACAAGAAACCTAGTGTTCTTGGGTTTGTTGACTATGGAAGATGGTCGACATGGAATGGACAGTGTGCATTAATTTCTTGATTCTATGACCTTCTCAAATGAGATATCTTTCACTGTGGTGGGAGTATTGTCAGTCATTGATCACCCGTGAACCTCATCAGTGGTAGGGCCAATATAAGCTCCTCTCCTTCCCTCGAGATCTTGTCTATTTTACGATGGCCCTAGCTGAGCAATGGTAGAAAACAGGCTTTTCATCCCTGGTTATTGGAAATAGAACTGTCTTGGGCAGCAGAAAGATCCTGCTCTCAGCTAACTTCAAATTTTTGAAATTTCTGAGTTTTGGAAGGATGAACCAAATCAAACTGCCTAGAAATGGTTGGTTGAGTAAATAAGGGGTGAGAAGGGCAGGGGACAAATATGTGGGAAATAAATAAATAAATAAATAAATATTTGCCCACTCACCCCATGTTATTGGATCACTTTCCCTGATTCCTCATGATGGACTATGTTGACCAGGACTGATGGAAGTTGTAACCAAGTAGTAACTGGGGTGCCCTGTGATTTCATCCAGTTTAGATAATTTTCAGCTCCTATATAAGTACTACTTAAGGTCCTGTTGTAAATTCCGAAATAATATGCAAATGAGGAACCTGTGCCACTGAAATTCTTTCACATTTGAAGACAATGGAATATTTTTCAAAGCATGAACTGATTGATAGAAATAAGATACTCTGGGCTATTGCTTCCCATATTGTCCTTTCCATTTGCCAATTTTTAAAGCTATTTTTATGTGTTGTGAGTGAGTGAATGAGTTAGTTCCTTCTTTCTTCAAAGTCACTTCAGGTTTTTTTGTCTGGAAAGGGAATTGGCCATATTTCTGCAATTTGCTGAAGTCAAATAAATATTGACCTCTTTTCTCTCTCCCTCATCTTCCTCAGGGCCCAGGTGTCCAGATTTGAAACAGCCAACTTACTCAGGGTTTGAAAGAGATGTCTTCAGAACTATAGCAGATTTCTACGGCCACATCAAAGAGCCCCTTCTCACTTTCCAGTTCTTTGATATCTTTGTTAGTGTATTGGGTAAGTTGTGTGTCTCCTGCACAGGGTCCAACAAGGGGCTGTTGATTGCAGTAAACCATATTGAGAAACCTGAATGGTTTCAGCCTTAGGTGAACTTTTCACAATGTCCTTACGCTTCTCTCAGAATTGAAAACTGTTCCACCAAGAATCATATATTCTGAGAATTCTTGTGCTGGAAATAAAAAATAAGCAAATAGGTTGAACCAATGTGAACCTGTTAAGAAAAAGAACAGTTGGCACATTCTCCCTCACTTTAGGGTCCTGAAACCACAGAAATTCTTCCTATAAAGGAAGCATAAGGCACCAGAAACCTGTCTTATTTATTCAGAGCAATTACATTGCAGATGAAGATAGAGCTTGTGACACAAGCAGCTTCTTTTATTGTATTGATGTATTTTAATGTATTGTCAAAGCTTTCATGGCCGGAGTCATGGCCAGAGTTTTCCGGGCTGTATGGACATGTTCCAGAAGCATTCCCTCCTGATGTTTTGTCCACGTCTATGGCAGGCATCCTAGGAGGTTGAGGGGTCTGTTGGAAATTAGACAAGTGAGGTATATATATCTTTCAAATGTCCAGGATCGGAGAAAAAAACTCTTGTCTGCTTGACGCAAGTGTGAATGTTGCAGTTGATCCCCTTGATTAGCATTTAATGGCCTTGCAGCTTCAAAGCCTGGCAGATTGCTGCCTGGGGGAATCCTTTATTTGGAAGTGTTAGCTGGCCCTGATTGTTTCTTGTCTGGAATTCCCCTGCTGTGGACAAGTCTACATAGAGACCACCAAACACAGTGCCCAAGCACGAATCAAGGAACATGAAAGGCACTGCAGACTAAGTCAACCAGAGAAGTCAGGTATAGCAGAGCATCTGATGAGCCAGCCTGGCTATGGTCAATAGGAGCTAGGATTCCTTCTTAACCATAGATTGCAAATCAGCTCAGATCTTGATTACTAAGGTGCATAAACCTGATGAGCACAAATCATGATTGATGCTATGATACGCATATGACAGGACATCAATTGTTACAGGGGAGCTCCCGGTAGTGCAGTGGGTTGAATCCTTGTGTTGGCGGGACTGCTGACTGAAAGGTTGGCAGTTTGAATCTGGGGAGCGGGGTGAGCTCCTGTCTGTCAGTTCCAGCTCCCCATGTGGGGACATGAGAGAAGCCTTCCACAGGATGGGAAACATCCAAGCGTCCCTTGGGCAATGTCCTTGCAGACAGCCAATTCTCTCACACCAGAAGCAACTTGCAATTTCTCAAGTCACTCCTGACATGAAAAAAAAAATCTTACAGGAAGAGGAACATAAATATTCAACTAATCTTGTAATTGATTAAGAGATCAGTAGCACATGCATCCAGATGAAGCCAAAGAATGTGACTGATTCTGGTATTTGAACGTAAGTCTTATGTTTTGACCAGGACTCTTGCAGAAGGAGAGATTAGCTATTGAAGCACTTCAGATTTGCTGCCTTCTTTTGCCACCACCTAATCGCCAAAAGCTGCAGCTGTTGATGATTATGATGGCCAGGATCAGTTCAAATAAGGATCTGCCACCACTCTCTGATACAGTTGGGACGAGAACACTGGTGCGTATGTGGGCTGGAGATGACAAGGCTTGTGGAATTGGTTTGGAGAAGACTTGTCCATTGCAAGATGAGACTCATTTCCAAAAATCTACAGCATTGTGTTTAAGAGGATGTGGCCGGGAAAGATGTCTAATCTCACTCTGCCTGCACTTTCCCACTTTCACTGCAAGCTGGAAACTGACAACACATATTTTGATTTCCTTGAAAAAAGTAATCAAGAACTGGCAGCTCACCCACTCTCCTTCTACATTCCTTTAATCTCACTCCATTATCTGATATGGAGCCTGCTTCAAATAGATGAGAGTTGGTCTTGAGCATCCCTTGCTCTTCATCAGGAAATTCCACTGTTACTCAGATTGCAACCTTGTGATTTTACTTGAAATCGCAAAATGCAGGTTGTCATGTTCATTTGGCTAGAGACATATAGGAGACATAACTGACCGTCAGTCTTGCAAAGCACCTATATTGTACTTGGTGCACTCTGAAAGAATGAACCGAAATTGATTTCTCATTTGCACCAACCAAATTTTTTGGGCAGTTTTTCTCAACATGAAGAGAACCGGGTTATATTGACCTTCCATATAGATCAGCGGTCCTCAAACTTTTTTAAAGGTCACAGTCCCTCAAACTGTTGGAGGGCCGGATTATAATTTGAAAAAAAAAAACCCCATGACTGAATTCCTATGCACACTGCACATATCTTATTTGTAGTGCAAAAACACTTAAAAACAATACAATAATTAAAACGAAGAATTTTTTTAAACAAATATAAGCTTATTAATATTTCAATGGGAAGAGTGGGCCTGCTTTTGGCTGATGAGATAGGATTGTTGTTGTGTGCTTTCAAGTCATTTCAGACTTAGGTTGACCGTGAGCGAGGGCCGGGTAAATGACCTTGGAGGGCCGTATTCAGCCCTTGGGCCTTAGTTTGAGGACCCCTGATATAGATATTTAAAAACTGGGGATGTCTTAGGGAAAGAAAGAAGTGGCAACCCCAATTCAGTATTTAACGTAACTGAATATGCAGGCACACAAACCAGACTTTTAAGAGTTAAGCATTAATTACTCTGGAACTGTATGGATGAATTTTCCAGTTTCTTCCACATTCATTAAAAAGAAACCCAAAGGTATTTTCCATTCCAGATATGAAGTTATTTGTGTGAGTTAGTGGGCTTTTAGGGGTGGAAAACCTAACTAAGACTTAAATCTCATCCTCTCTTATTGAATAATAATAAATAAGAATGTTGATAATATGGTATGCTGTGAAAACCGCCACTTCCATTCTTTGATTCTTATCTCTTTCAGATGGTTCAAACTTTTTCTCGCTGTATCCTATGTTCTGAGGATGAGGTTGACTTGGATGAATTACTAGCTGCTAAACTGGTGTCGTTCTTAATGGACAATTATAATGAGATCCTAAATGCTTCTCCTGCTTTGAAAACTTCAGTAGAGGAACATGTAGCTCATCTTCAAAGGGTTCAGGTGGGAGTTACAAGGCAACATTTTTTTCTCAGTGTAGGATCCTGTTTAAAACTAAATAATTTCTTTTACAGGAAATAAACAGACAATTAGTTCAGTGTTGCTAAATTTGATTAAACACTATTATTTATTTATTTACAGTATTTATATTCTGCCCTTCTCACCTCAAAGGGGACTCACGGCAGATCACAATGCACACATACATGGCAAACATTTAATGCCATTTTCTAGACATACAGACAGATAGATAAAGGTATTTTTGACATTTCCACTTTGGTGCCTGGAGGTTATACTTGATTCTGGCCACAGGGGGGAGCTGTTGCTTTATCACTATGATGCCGAGTCATTCGATCGTATTTCCTCCTTGCTTTTTGACTGCTGGCATTTTTTTAATGGTGTCATAAAATACCTCCCCGCTTTAAGTGGCTCCTAATTCCTCTACTCACAGCTCAGCTGTTTTCGAACTGCTTAGATGGATAGTAAGCTAGGCTTAACAGTCGGGTGTTCAATCCGACTCTGGCTTTGAACTTGTAGGCAGTGATCTATTGGAGCTGGGGATTGGGTGGTAATTAACTACCTGTGCTACAGCTCTGCCCTGTCTGTTTTTTAAATTATTTTTTTATTAATTTCTTCATACATAGATAACACAATAATACAATACAAACATTAGCCATCTAAAAAAAATAAATCAAAAACTGTTTACAACTATGGCTAGGATACAGGTTCCAATTGTGCTACCCTTTGCCGTATATCTCGATTATTTACCCCTTTAAACCTCCCACCCCACCCACCCACACTTACCATCCTCTTCCCACCTTCCTCCTACCCCATCTGGGTTTACTTAAATAAATCTTGGAGGTGAAGTTGAAAATTTCCTCTTGTCAAAGTTTTATTTCTGTAAGGCTACCATACTTTGGGGGTGGAAGGCAAAGAGGCAGGGTTGCTGTTCTAATATGATGCTTCAGTTATGTCAGGAGACAATTGCACGAGGATGGAGCTACCACCAACAAAGCAAAATCCCCAAATTTGCTTCTTCTCTTCTCAGTTCATATCATTTTTATCCATAGGTAGGCTTAAGTACAGACCATGAGTGTCAAAATACAAACATCTTACCTTTCTATTAATAATATCTTCCCATTTGTTTAAAGCAGATCAAGTATCCTGGAGCTGATACTGATACAACTTTGCCTGTTCCATCATTTTGTCACCAAATCAGCACCGATGAATTTGAACATCAAAGAATAAACGGCTGTCAGGAGCCACTGGCAGGCTTGTTAGAAAAAATTGCGACAAATACAGAAATGTCCCGCAAAGAGAAGAAGAAAAGGTTGAAAAAGGTAAAGGAAATAGTCACATATCTCAGTAAAATTTACTCCTCAATCTTAACAAGGATTTGTTGTTTTCCAATGTATGTGAATACATGCCACTTTTTTTTTAAAAAAAGAATACTTTGCTTTTGGGTTTGTCTTTGTGAATTTTAATGCTAGGGACTCATAAAAAAATTTCACATCCACAGGGAGGAGGGAGCAGGTTTTTTTTTTCTTCTGCCCTGGGGACTAGGATGCGGAACAATGGCTTCAAACTACATGAAAGGAGATTGCACCTGAACAGTAGAAAGAACTTTCTAATTGTGAGAGTTGTTCAGCAGTGAAACTGTGCCCTGGAGTGTGGTGGAAGCTCCTTCTTTGGAGGCTTCTAAACAGAGGCTGGATGGCCATCTGTCAGGGGTGCTTTGAATGCGATTTTCCTGCTTCTTGGCAGAAGGTTGGACTGGATGTCCCATGAGGTCTCTTCCAACTCAATGATTCTATGAAATACCTTAAGCACAGGAATGTGCTGTGTTGGGAGAAGGAGAATACATATTTCCCAAGTCCAGGGTGCTACTGAAGAGCATGATGTTTCTAGGACAAAACATTTACAGAATAGCAGGGATGGAAAACCTGCCCTTCAATCTCAATTGATCTGACCAGGAACTCAGCCATTATGGACTTCCCAGAGGCAAAGAGAAGTGCACCTCAGGCTGCAATACATGGCTGTGAGTGCTGATGTTCTAATAAAGAGAACATATTTTCCCCTTTGGGGCAAATGTTGTTTTATGTCATAAATTGGCATCATTTTTATTATTTGTAATTTTAAAAAAATATACCTAGAAGTTTTGAAGGGAAAAAAATACTGAGGAAATCATAACAATAGTGTGCTATATTATCCAATTATATCTCTCTGATTTTTAAGTTCTTGGATAGAATCAGAATTGTCATGGTCTAAAATTCTGGTCAGTAACACCTGAAACCATTGAGAGTGATGTCTATTGGAGGAGGCGAGCCCTTTCTTTCCCCTAGATGTGTTCACATAGGTATGGAAGTAAACAAGAAAATAATACCTAACCAGCACTGCAGACCTTCTGGTTACATATTAAACAATTTTGGATTTGCCCGCAGTTTAACCTAATTAAGATTGTGGGTAGATATTGAGCTGTGCTTGAAATCATGGCAGTCAGGTAAGCTACGGAGCCCCCATTAGCAGAATGGGTTAAATCATTGTGCTGTCAGGACTGCTGACCAACAGGTTGGCAGTTCAGATCTGGGGAGCGTGGTAAGCTCCCTCTGTCAGCTCCAGCTCCCGATGCAGGGACATGAGAGAAGCCTCCCACAAGGATAGTAAAACATCAAACATCAGGGTGTCCCCTGGGCAACGTCCTCGCAGACGGCCAATTATCTCACATCAGAAGCGACTTGCAGTTTCTCAAGTTGCTCTTGACACGAAGGGAAAAAAAGCTAAGCTATGCCTCTTGCAAAAATTACATTTACAATGGGTAGCTCTACTCCCAGTTTCCTGGGGCTGAACATTTTGTGAGTAAGATCAGCAGCAAGGCAGATACTTGTGATGGGAAAAATGCTTCTCATATAGCTTAATATTTTTACCTATTTTCTGTTGTTAGAGGTTAAATCTAATTTTATTCTGCAACATTTTTTGCAGCTCAAAATCCAGCTGCAGGTTTTGAGGAGGCAAAAGGTGGACTCAAGGCAGGAAGGACAGGGAACTTGGTCTCTATTAAATTTTTTCCTAAAGTACAGGCAGTCCCCGAGTTACAAACATCCAACTTACAAATGACTCATAGTTAATAATTTGGGGTGAGACAACAAGAAGTGACAGTAATCTACCCCTCAGGAGGGAAATTCACTCCTGAGTTATCATAGGAAAAAGGTGTCTCCACTGAAGCTTTCTCGCCAATCCTTGTTTTCACAACAAGCCAAATTTTTCAAAATTCAATTTTCCCAGGGACAGAAATTTTCTGAACAGGGGCACAGACAATAAAACAAACACCCCAAGGGTGTCAACCCTTCCCTATGCTATAGATAGATAGATTGATCAATAGGGCTGAAGATACACTTTAAAAATCTATCTGTTCCAACTTACATACAAATTCAGTTTAAAAACAAACCTACAGAACCTATCTTGTTCATAACTTGGGAACTGCCCGTATATGAACTTAACCTATCATATAATCCAATTCAAAGAAGATAATTTGGATTCAGAAACTGAATTATATGGCAGTGTCGATGGGGACTTAGAATAAATGTATATTGGATTTCTAAGTAATGGCCTACGACACAGTGTTGGTTTAATGACATAGATTCCCAGTCCTCAGACCTCCCTGAAACTTACTTTGGACAGTTTTCCATCACTCTGGAATAAGTTTCTAGTGATGGAAAAAAAGACACCACCCATCATTTCCACTGATTTCCATTGTTCTGTCAACAAAGTTATTAGATCTGTTATTTTACAGATTTATGAAAGAATTTTTAAACTCCAAATCACAATTGCTCAGAACTATTGAGAGGGACTTTTAATTGTAATATAAGGGCTCTATACACATAAAAGTAGATTTGGCTAGCAGAAGTTTTGCATTTGGTTAGACACCAGGATGATGTCAAAAAGTAAAAATGGGCAAAAAGCAGAACTCAGGTTTTTTAAAGCTTGCAAAACTAGGTGGTACAGAGTTGGCAGAGAGAAAAAACAGCATATCGAATAGAAAGGAAAAAACTCAGTGTGTTTAATGTGCAGAGATGAGAAGAAGCAGACCAGGGCTTCAAAGTATGGTATGGTTATGATTTAGGTCTGTTGAAACCATAATGTCAAAAGAACGAGTAATTGAAAAGTAGGAGATTCTTGTTCACTCCTCCCATGGCTTAGGTCCAATCTGTTTTTGAGTTAAACTTGGGGCTAGTAAAAAAATGAAGAATTCCTTTGACAGGCTGAAGCAATGTTATTACATTCCTCTTAAGATAAAAAATCAGGATTCGTTTTGTTTATATAATTGTATTTCTGGAGATTACAGAAACCAAAAAAAATAAATACCTTAAGTAGTGTGTGCTTCTGTCTTGGAACTGAAGTAGTGTGTGTCAGGATTTGACAAAACAAGGAGATTTGTTTTGCCACAGTTAAAACTGGTCAAATAATTGAATCTGTGCCTTTTCCTTTTAGTTTCAGAAATCCTACCCCGATGTATACAAGGAGCGATTTCCTACTCCTGAAAGTGAAGCAGCTCTGTTCCCAGAAAAAAGTAAACAGAAACCACTGCTGTTGCTATGGGCATTAAAAAAACCTTTCCAGCCATTTAATAGAACAAGAAGCTTCCGGATGTAGGACTGTGAATAAGCTACTTCCACTAATGGTCAGATTTCAAGATGGCTGGAATTTTGTTAACTACTGAACACACTTTAACGATGAAAAAGAACTGGGACAACAAATTGCTCTGCTGAGCCATTATCAGTATTAGGTTAGATTCAGACTTAGGGTGCGTCAGTATTTGGATAGATTCAGACTTAGAGTAAATCTATGATGTCATTCTATGATGTAATTCTACATCAAAGAACTAATGTAGCTTGACACCACTTTAACTAACATGGTGCAATGCTATGGAATCATGAGAGTTGTAATTTTAGAAAATTTTTAGCCTTTTCTGTCAAGGATTGCTGGTGCCTCACTAACTACAAGTCTCAGGATCCATAGTATTGAACCATGACTTTTAAACAGGTGTCGAACTGCATTAATTCTACAGTGTAGATGTACGCCTAGTCATATCTAGAGCAGAGATACTGGAATCTGGGATGAGTTGGTCTTAATTATGGTACCATTGATTTCAATAGGTTATATGTAAGTATAACTACATGTGACTTGTGCTTTTTTAAAAAACTGGACAGTAAAAGTTATCTAACAATGACCTGGTTTTGAATTCTCATATCTGAGATTAATAAGAAGAGGTATGTCAAAGTATCTTTTTTTTGTGCACAAATCACAGTAAATCCAGGATCTTTCTAAGCAGTTTCTAGTTTATTCTAAACCTGAGCAGTTTCAGAACAAACTAAATTTTTAAGCCATGATTTGATTATCTTGGCTTGTTCCAAAACTGGTAAACACGGTTGGGAATCCTAGGGGCGCATCTACACTGGACATTTAATGCAGTTTCAAATTGGTACTGAAGGAGGTAGTTCCACTGTACGCATGATTACAAAGGAAATCCTGGAACCAGTTTGAGGCCTAAATAACTAGCCACACTGATGCATATGATGGGCTTTATTTAGCACAAATTTGTGGGAGTTTATTGTTTGGCTGCTGCAGTTTGAAGCTGACTTCAAACTGCATTAAATGGTCAGTGTAAATGGGGGACAGGTCAGTGCATATCAAACTCTAATCTTCCAGGTGTTTTGGACTTCAACTCCCAGAAACCCCAGAATTTTGAAGTCCAAAAGGCCAAAGACTGAGAACTACTTCTATAGACATAATCCTCCCACTGTGTGCTTTTAAAGTCATTTTGCATAGTGCAACTGAACCTTTCCACTTTGGGGTTCTCCACAGGTGAGAAAAGTCATAATTCTCTTAGATGTTGGAAAATGACACTTTCTCTATACTTTCAGCCATGGAACTGGATATAGGTGTGCTTTTCAACATGGAAAGAGTTGGTTGCATTGGGATGGAAAAGGTATGGGATGGAGATAAACTGGTCGACAGTTCCATTCTGCCAGGCTGATATTGAATCCTGGCTATAGTTTCTTCCATTTGTACCAAATGGGAAAGGATGTTTAAACAGAATGTGGGGGTAGGGAATCCAAATTTCACAGTTGGACAGTTAGCTTAATGTGGACCATCATCCATTTGCATTATTTTGTTTGCTTGTAATAAGAGTATTTCTTAACTGTGAATTTAGCTGTCTTTGTTCGTATTTCTTTTTAAATATTGGTTAATTAAGGACCCCCTAGTTTAATCACAGCTTGTGAGAAGGGGTAAAAGAGGCTGCCTGTGGGCAAAGTGAGTAAAGATTGCCATTTCAAGATGTGGTAAACGTGTTTCTTACAGGAAGAATGAACTTTGTATGTATATATTATTGGATTTCTCAAGGGTGTAAAATACATATGAATGAACCTGAAATACTGTAATTTTGGTCTGTTCTGGTTAGCTGCAGATCAAATAGTTAACAAAATGTCAAACTACTGATTTTCAACACTGGGTCACATGTTTATGTGAGAATACTTATTTCTGAAAAGGGCTTACTAGTGCACTGCTTCCTAAACTGTAGGTCCTGACATCAAAAGGGGTTCCTTTAGCTCAGTGGTACCCAACCTTTTTTTGACCAGGGACCACTCTCCAACATTAGTACCAAAAGGGTTACAAATCAGTTTTTGGTCAACTTTAGATTCGATTTGATTATTTGGGGTGTTGATTCATAAAACTGCATTAGATAGACCACATTTGCTCTGGTTTCTGATACAGAACATATGCCATCCAGTAGTGGCCATCTGCTCAGGCACAGAAAACCATATTTGATGATCTAGAGCTGATGTGGTTGTAGTAACCTTTTTTGGGTAGTCAGCCAAAAAACCCTCCTGACATCCCTGTTGCCTTTGCGCTATAAAAGAGTTTCGCGAGGCCAGCTCTCATTGCCACTTGGTTTTGAGGCAACGGTGTAGTAATGGTGAGGCCACAAGCCATATCTTCATTCTTGCGGACTACTGGTGGTCCACGAACCACAGATTGGGAACCACTGCTTTAGCTCAACAGTAAATGTTTTATGGATATCACATTGTGGCTGTTTTAGACATTTACACAGTGTGCAGTGTTTACAGTGGACTCTGCAGAAGATGTTTTACCTATACTTCATAAAAAGGAAAATCAGCCTGTTTAGCAAGCCTTGCAAATGCTGATTTGATATCCGTAAGTGTTTTATTTTTATACCTATTTTATTTACTTATATACCAGGGGTCACTTAAACATTTCTCAGGTCAAAAAGAGTCACAAGTGAAAAAGTTTAAGAAGCCCTGTTCTAGTGCATGGTGGGACCTTGCTTATGCAGCACAAGACTGATTGTGGGAAAGTGTCTTGTCTGTTGGCTCTACAAAGGGAAAAAAATCATTATTTCATAAGTTTGCGTTATTTTTTACTTTCTTGAATAGTTACCTTCATTACTTTGTTCAGCATTACATAACGCATGGAAGGCTTGTACAATTGTTTCTTACTGCTAACCATGCTGTCTCACATTTCCTGAGAGCTGAAGACCAAAATACACAGAGTCCCTGTTCTAGTTTGTATTTCCGTTTCATAGAACCCAACATGTGCCTATTCTTCATTCTCCACCAAGCATCCAGTACTATGGAGAATGTTGTGTTTGACATGGTTGATTTGATGGACTAATTGAAAATCATGAGCTCTTCCTGGTTTGGACTATAAACATGCAAGTATAATAATAGCTACACATTGTGTGTTAGGAGTATAAACTAGGAATGACCTATATTACTATTTATCCTTAATATGTCTTTATTTGAGCTCAAACAACTCTGTAAACTAACTTAATCTGAAAGAGAATCATTGGCTGTAGGTCATCCAGTCAACTTCATGGCCAAACATTGATTTTTCAGACTGAATTCACAGCTTCATGTCAGACATTCTAAAGGCAACTTTGGGGAAAGGAGGGAAGTTGAAGGGTTTGTGATGCACCCTTACTGAAGGACAGGGTACGTCTTTCTGATGTACATAATGAATTTTGTACCGCAAACATACATTTTGAATGAACCCAAATCTACTGCACTTCTAAAACATTTCAAGCAATAAAGCTATGATATTTTAATCTTTGTATTGGATTGTTTTCTTCATAGAGGTTTGACCTTGCCTTCCTTTGTAGCTAAAAGTGTGTGACTTGCCCAAGGTCACCCCTGGCTGAGTCATGATTCTAACCTTGATCTCCAGAGTCCCAGATCGTGACACCATAATGGAGGTGTATAAAGTAATGTCTTGTGTGAAAAAAAGTAGATATGGAGAAGTTTGTGTTCTCTGTCTCACAATGTCAGGACTTGAAATCATCAATTTGCAATGGATTCATGGGAGATTGAGAGATAACACCATACAAAACTAAGCTGTGAGTTGACTGTCACAAGATACAATTAAAGTTGGATACTTATATGGCTTTGAAAAGTGATTGGATAACTTAGTTGATCCCTCGTTGTCAGAGTAGGATAGTCTTCCAGGTTCAGTGTGCTGGCGGTGAGTCCGTAGGTGACTGTGGAGCCCTATTCTTGATCTGCATCTTCTCTTGCAATGAGGGCATTGGGTTTCAGGTGGAAGGGGTCCCAGTCGGGGTTGGCTTGATGCACCTTCCTCTTGGCATGTTTTTCTCTTTTGCCCTCCATTCATGCCTCTTCAAATTCTACAGCACTACTGGTCACAGCTGACCTCCAGCTGGAGCGCTCCAGCCGAGCACCAAGTAAGGAGCACTACTTACTCAGCTACAGACCCTGCCAGGCCTCACACAATCGATCTGAAAAGCAGGCTTGTCTGCCTTTTGTATCGATTGGATTTTCGTTTCAGGAGGGCCATCTGAATGGACCGAACAAAACGGAAACTCGAATGAAACGAATGGGACAAATTTCGGGCCCATGGCTGGTATGGCTATGTAGCAACTCCTGTTTCGGAGGCAGAATGCTTCTGTATTTCATTTGTATTTCATCATGGGTAGGGAGGAGATCCAGGACACAACCTGCTGTCAATCGAGACCTGCTTTGTATGACCGCTCAGAAAGATGAAAAAGATCACCCAGGGCAAGGTGGCATCACTGATAGTAATGGCTGTCTAAAGTTCTCCCCTGCAGGTTGAGCAACAGCAGGTTATGCTAGGTACTTCACGGAATGAAGAACCCTGAAGCCTAAAAAGTTTTCCACTCATGCGTACATGTTGATTAAAAGCCTCTGAGATTTATGCTAGAAGTTAGAGTCATGTGGCCTTCTAAAGGTTGTCCAGTTGACTCCATACAGCATAGCCAGTGGGTGAGAAATGGGAGTTGCAGTACAAAAATGACTACACAATTCCCATGCCTGCTTTATAACTTCCTTGGCTCACTCTTGACTTATGTCCTTTGCCCCCCCCCACCTCAGGAATTCAGATTTCTGGGTAGTATTTGCATTTTTAGACCACTCACTTGCTTTCAAGTGACTATGGCAAGTGGTATGGACAGTATTGCACTGGCAGAGGCTGAACTGAAGACTGACATACTTAAGATGGTGAAATTGCACCCATATTCTGTTAGCAACCTTTTCATAGGTAGCTGCTAGATTGGCCACTGTGCGAACAGAATGGTGGAACAAATAGGCCTTGCATCCAGCAAGGCTGTTCATACGTTCTCAATGCATCATCTGGAAGATGTGTGGACAAGATCAAACTTCATCGACCTGATACTGGTGTACATGGCAGAACAGGTGAGAGCAAGGCTGGTGCATATTGGGGTGTAAGGGAGGCATATTTTAAAATTAAAACTTGTGCACCAGTTGCGCCCACCTGTACCTTGAGAAGTCAGACTTGGCCATGCTAGTCCATGCTCTGGTTACATCCTGAATAGACTACTGCAACACACTGTATGTGGGGCTGCCTTTGAAGACTGTTTGGAAGCTATAAATGGTCCAACGGGTGGCAGCCAGATTCCTCACCGGAGTAGTGTACAACCTGGCTGGCTGCCAATCTGCTACCAAGCACAAATCAAAGTGCTGGTTTTAGCCTATAAAGCCCTAAATGGTTCTGGCCCAGCTTATCTGTCTGAACGTATCTCCCTCTATGAACCACCTCGAAGTTTAAGATCATCTGGGGAGGCCCTGCTCTCGGTCCTATCTCCCTCACAGGCTCAGTTGGCGGAGATGACAGTGCCTTCTCAGCAGTAGCCCCTTGACTGGAATTCCCTCCCTAGGGATATTAGATCAACCCCCTCCCACCTGACCTTCCACAAGAGAGTGAAGATGTGGCTTTGTGACCAAGCCTTTAGAGAACTTGTGCAACAGATAGACCATTGGAACAACCTGGATTACACTCATGGATTACGTGTTTAACTCTGAATGTATTGAATTTAATTGTTTTTAATGTACTTTTAAATTCTATTTTGATATTTATTTTAGTGTAAATTGTGTTTTAGGGCACCGAATCGTTGCATGTATGTAAAGCCAACTTGAGTCCCTACTGATGTGAGAAAGGCAGGGTAGAAATGTTGTAAATAGATAAATTATATTTGAGGGATCTGGAGCCCCTTCCTCACAGATGAATAAAATCTCACATGATCTGCTTTGAACTGGAATATGGCAGTGTGGACTCAGATAACCCAGTTCAAAGCAGATATTGTGGGATTTTGTGCCTAGATATATTTTGGGTTATATGGCTGTGTGGAAGGGCCTTGGGGTATCATGCCTAAGCTGTTGGTGGCTCTGAAGTCATTTCTACATGCTACTACAAAGCTTAGCTCCGGTTGTTCCCCATGGGTAGGCCTTGATGTAAGAGATAGAAGACTCCTCAGATGCTGGGAATCCCAGAATAGGCAGTCATAATTTCAAAGCAGACTTGCATTGGATGATCCAGTAACAGAAATGGCACTAAAGCATTTGGGCTCACAGAACAGTGTACCTTTGTGAAGGGCATCTTCTGTGAAACCAAAAGGATTAACAACAATACATTTTACCTGCCTTTCCCTAAGTTTGAAGGCATGGCAAAACATAAAATTAAAATGCAAAATACAACCAAAAACAAAACAATTTAAATTAAATAAATTTAAAATTAAAACACACCCAATCACAAATTAATAGGTTAAAATCAACTGTTTGGGCCTGTCAGAAGAGATGGGTTTTTCATGCTTTCAACATCCAAACAGCATGTTTAGCTGTTGTATATCTTTTAGTAG